TTCTGAATTATTATATAAAAGCAATAGACCACAAGTTTTTATGGTTTAGAGGCATGATAAACCACTTGGGATGTTGGAAGAACACGAGAAGAATTCGCAGATCACTCGCCTGCGGCTCATGATTTACAAATTCTTCTCGTGTTCTTCCAACATCCCGCATGGTTCATCAGCCCATAGACCATAAAAACTTGTGGTCTACTGCTTAAATATTTACGCTGTTATGCAATGTCATATACCATAGAATTCCAAAAGTAATGTTCAACTGATTACCCTACATTATATATCATTTGACTCTGCTACTAGGCAAATACAGCATATAAATCATAGTGTGAAAAAAAATTCAGGCATATTCAAAATCATAAAATCACAGATAGCTTTTCAAGTAAATGTTCAGTCCTCCATCCACGTGACCAGTGCTCAAGGACCGAGATTTTTTCTTTTACTGTAGTGACTTCTTGAAAGGGCCACTGCTTTTGGGTGGGCTGCTACGTTCAGGGGAAGCGTTACTTTCGCGGTTCACTAGGTAGGTAGGTTAAGTCTGCATACGAGCCAAGTGGCCCATCAGGCCGGAGCTTATCCCGGTTTCTGTAGCATGAAGCAGCTAGGAGTATTTCTACTCCCCCCTGGATGGGATGCTAGTCCATCACAGGGTTACCCCTACCATTAAGTTCATGAGTGCCCATTTATACACCTGGGTGGAGAGAGGCACTATGAGAGTAAAGTATTTTGCTCAAGATACAGTGCTGAGCAATGTGCAGGGCTTGAACCTGGACCGCTCGATCTGGAGATGAGCATACTAACCATTAGTCCACCGCACCTCCCACAAGTAGAGTACATGTACATGATGTACAGTGTACGTAACTGTATCCTTTAATAATTTTTTATTGATAAAATCTAATATTAAATAGCTTTGTTTTTATACCAGCAATAGGAAGGAATTCATGTCAGGATTCTAATAACATACATGACTGTGTAACTAGACTGAACACTTTTACTCATACCTCTCGTCTTGTACATACTCTTATGTATGACTACAGTGTATCTTAAGGCCCCTATAATTTAATAATGTATTAAGAATGGCTGACTGTTAGGATCGAGAAACGCCGGTCAACGTCCCATTTGAAAAATCGCTCATATTTTGCCCAAAGATACCCTTAGGTGACCTAATTCTAAAAATCATATTTAAAGGTTCCA